CATATACAGGGAAGATGGGAGATAGCTACTACAGGGAAGATGGGAGATAGACTAGTCTACACTGGGAGACTCACTACTCACATCCATATATTGCTACAGGGAAGATGGGAGATAGTCACACTACATCTGTATATGCTACAGGGAAGATGGGAGATAGTCCACTACTCACATCCATATATTGCTACAGGGAAGATGGGAGATAGTCCACTACTTACATCCATATATTGCTACAGGGAAGATGGGAGATAGTCCACTACTCACATCCATATATTGCTACAGGGAAGATGGGAGATAGTCCACTACTCACATCCATATATTGCTACAGGGAAGATGGGAGATAGTCCACTACTCACATCCATATATTGCTACAGGGAAGATGGGAGATAGTCCACTACATCCATATATTGGAAGGGAAGATGGGAGATAGTCCACTACTCACATCCATATATTGCTACAGGGAAGATGGGAGATAGTCCACTACTCACATCCATATATTGCTACAGGGAAGATGGGAGATAGTCCACTACTCACATCTGTATATTGCTACAGGGAAGATGGGAGATAGTCCACTACTCACATCTGTATATTGCTACAGGGAAGATGGGAGATAGTCCACTACTCACATCCATATATTGCTACAGGGAAGATGGGAGATAGTCCACTACTCACATCTGTATATTGCTACAGGGAAGATGGGAGATAGTCCACTACTCACATCTGTATATTGCTACAGGGAAGATGGGAGATAGTCCACTACTTACATCCCTATATTGCTACAGGGAAGATGGAAGATAGTCCACTACTCACATCTGTATATTGCTACAGGGAAGATGGGAGATAGTCCACTACTCACATCTGTATATTGCTACAGGGAAGATGGGAGATAGTCCACTACTCACATCTGTATATTGCTACAGGGAAGATGGGAGATAGTCCACTACTTACATCCGTATATGGCTACAGGGAAGATGGAAGATAGTCCACTACTCACATCTGTATATTGCTACAGGGAAGATGGAAGATAGTCCACTACTCACATCTGTATATTGCTACAGGGAAGATGCATGTGCTCCCAGTTTTGATTATGATTTTCTTGTTGGGGAGAAACAAAAGTGTTGTTAACGCTGTTTTAGAAATCATACAGGGCGTGAAAAAGTCTCTGCAACTGTCGCCTGGCATGAGCAGATTTATGTATCTATGGCCTGACAATGACACATTTATATAACTATGACCTGACAATGACACATTTATGTAACTACCACCACACTGATACATGCAGGTCATTATCACCTCTTGATATGCCTTGATATATTTTGAAACCTTTTTACAGAAAGAATGTGTGTACGTTTCTCAGTGGACAGAAAGTCTGTGTGTACGTTTCTTATTGGAGAGAAAGTCTATGTGTACGTTTCTTATTGGAGAGAAAGTCTATGTATACGTTTCTTATTGGAGAGAAAGTCTATGTATACGTTTCTTACTGGAGAGAAAGTCTATGTATAGTTCTCATTGGACAGAAAGTCTATGTGTACGTTTCTTATTGGAGAGAAAGTCTATGTATACGTTTCTTACTGGAGAGAAAGTCTATGTATAGTTCTCATTGGACAGAAAGTCTATGTGTACGTTTCTTATTGGAGAGAAAGTCTATGTATAGTTCTCACTGGGCAGAAAGTCTGTGTGTACATTTCTTATAGGACAGAACATCTACGTGTACGTTTTTCATAGCACAGAAAGTTCATGTGTAGGTTTCTCATTGGGCAGAAAGTCTATATGTACGTTTGTCACTGGACAGAAATTAGACTATATGGGTATGTTTCTCATTGGACAGAAAGTCTATATGTACGTTTGTCACTGGACAGAAATTAGACTATATGGGTATGTTTCTCATTGGACAGAAAGTTTATGCGTACGTTTCTCATTGGACAAAAAGTTTATGTGTACCTTTTACGTAGAACAAAAAATTTATATGGATGGTTCTTAATAGGCAGAAATTATATGGGTATGTTTCTCACTAGAAAGAAAATCTATATGTATGGTTCTCATTAGACAGAAATGAAATAGGTATGTTTCTCATCGGACAGAAAGTCTGCGTGTTTGTGTTTCTCATTGGACAGAAAGTCTCTGTCTCTTTTCTCATTGAAAAGACAGTAAATGTGTCTGTTTCTAGACACAAGTATATGTGTATTGTTCTCATTGGACAGAAAGTATCTGTGTATGGTTCTCATTGGACATAAAGCATATGTGTAGGTTTCTCATTGGACAGAATGTAACTGTGTATGTTTCTCATTAGAAGCAAGTATGTGTGTCTGTTTCTAATTGGACAGAAAGTATATGTGTATGATTCTCATTGGACAGAAAGTACATACTGTGTATGTTCTGGTCGACCATGACATTGACAACAATCGGCGAGAGGGCGCCACCAGTCACTGACCTGGTTTGTACGTCTGTTACGTCTATGTGTGTGTTCATTAAATGGCTGGTCTTGTCCTGTCCTGAAATGAAATTATTTAACGCACAGTTTCCCAAACTCTGGGTCGCGCGTTATTTTCAGATTTTCTTCAACTGAAAACCAAAGCAAGAAAACAGTAAATATTGACAATGATATGGGATTGGTATTTTTTTTTTTTTTTTTACTACTTCACCGAAAATGTAATGGTACCCAATTACAGTTTTAATCATCGAATTAAATATGTCATATTCTAACATTATTTTCAATCATATTATACCAGAAGAAAAAATATTTTTAACGCTTTTCATTTACCTATTAAAAGTCCTGATTGTTATGTATATAAACTCCATACCTGTATAGACTGGGGTCACTGTGCATCTATAAACTGATAAACTGGGGTCATTGCTTCTTTATAAACTACGATCGCTGGTCACTGTGCCTTTGTAAACTGGGATCGAGGGTCACTGTATCTCTGATAAATGGGATCATGGGTCACTGTACTTCTGTAAACTGGGGTCACAAGTCACTGAATCTCTAAAAATTGAGGTCGCATGTCACTGTATCTCTATAAACTGGGGTCGAATGTCACTGTATCTCTATAAACTGGGATCGCGAGTCACTGTATCTCTATAAACTCAGGTCGCATGTCACTGTGACTCTAAAAACGGGGTCACTGTGCCCCTGTAAACTGGGGTCTATGTGCCTTAATACTCTGGGGTCTCTGTGCTTTTATAAACTGGGGTCGAATGTCACTGTGTCTCTGTAAACTGGAGTTACGGGTCACAGTGCCTGTATAAACTAGAGTCAGGGGTCATTGTGAATCTATAAACTGGGGTCTTGGGTTACTGCGCCTATGTAAACCAGAGTCACTGTGCCCCTGTAAACTGAAGTCACCGTTCTTCTGAAAATTGGGGTCACCGTGCCTCTGTAATCTGGGATCACTGTGCCGCTCTAAACTGGAGTCACCGTGCCTATGTAAATAGGGTTCACTGTGCCTCTGTAAACTGGGGTCACCGTGCCTCTGTAAATTGGGGTCACTGTGCCTCTGTAAACTGGGGTCACTGTGCCTCTGCAAACTGGAGTCACGGTGCCTCTGCAAACTGGAGTCACGGTGCCTCTGTCAATTGTGGTCAGTGTACCTCTGTGAACTGGGGTCACTGTGCTTTTGTAAACTGGGGTCACTGTGCCTCTGTAAACTGGGGTCACCGTGCCTCTGTAAACTGGGGTCACTGTGCCTCTGTAAACTGAAGTCATTGTGCCTCTGTAAACTGGGGTCACCGTGCCGCTGTAAACTGGCGTCACCGTGCCTATGTAAATTGGGGTTACTGTGCCTCTGTAAATTGGGGTCACCGTGCCTCTGTAAACTGGGGTCACTGTGCCTCTGTAAACTGGAGTCACGATGCCTCTGTAAATTGGGGTCACTGTGCCTCTGTAAACTGGGGTCACCGTGCCTCTGTAAACTGGGGTCACCGTGCCTCTGTAAACTGAGGTCACCGTGCCTCTGTAAACTGAGGTCACCGTGCCTCTGTAAACTGGCGTCACCGTGCCTCTGTAAACTGGGGTCACCGTGCCGCTGTAAACTGGAGTCACCGTGCCTATGTAAATTGGGGTTACTGTGCCTCTGTAAATTGGGGTCACCGTGCCTCTGTAAACTGGGGTCACTGTGCCTCTGTAAACTGGAGTCACGGTGCCTCTGTAAATTGGGGTCACTGTGCCTCTGTAAACTGGGGTCACCGTGCCTCTGTAAACTGGGGTCACCGTGCCTCTGTAAACTGAGGTCACCGTGCCTCTGTAAACTGAGGTCACCGTGCCTCTGTAAACTGGCGTCACCGTGCCTCTGTAAACTGAGGTCACCGTGCCTCTGTAAACTGGGGTCACCGTGCCTCTGTGAACTGAGGTCACCGTGCCGTGTAAACTGAAGTCACCGTGCCTCTGTAAACTGAGGTCACCGTGCCTCTGTAAACTGGCGTCACCGTGCCTCTGTGAACTGGGGTCACCGTGCCTCTGTAAACTGGGGTCACCGTGCCTCTGTGAACTGGGGTCACCGTGCCTCTGTAAACTGGGGTCACAGTGCCTCTGTGAACTGGGGTCACCGTGCCTCTGTAAACTGGGGTCACAGTGCCTCTGTATACTGGAGTCACTGTGCCTCTGTGAACTGGGGTCACTGTGCCTCTGTAAACTGGGGTCACCGTGCCTCTGTAAACTGGGGTTACAGTGCCTCTATGAACTAAGGTCACTGTATCTCTATAAACTAGGGTCGCAGGTCACTGTATCTCTGTGAACTGGGGTCGCGTGTCACTGTCCATTCGTAAACTGGCGTTTACTGTATAAACTGAGGTTGCGGGTCACTGCATCTCTGTAAACGTCTGTCGTGGGTCACCGTGCCTTTATAAACTGGGTTCTCGCGTCATTGTGCCTTTATAAACTAGGCATCTGTGCCTCTATACACTAGGTTACTGTGTTTCTATAAAATTGGGTCCCAGGTCACTGTGCCTCTATGAACTGGCATCACCCTGCCTCTATAAACTGGGTCACTGTGTCTCTATAAACTGGAGGGGGGGGGGGAATAACTGTATATCTATAAATTGGGATGGCTGTGCCTCCATAAATTGCAGTCACTGTCCCTCTATAAACTGCAGTCACTGTGCCTATATAAACTGGGGTCACTGTGTCTCTATAAATTGGGGTCACTGTGTCTCTATAAACTGAGGTCGCTGTGTCTCTATAAACTGGGGTCACTGTGTCTCTATAAACTGGGGTCACTGTGTCTCTATAAACTGGGTCACTGTGTCTCTATAAACTGGGGTCACTGTGTCTCTATAAACTGGGTCACTGTGTCTCTATAAGTTGGGTCACTGTGTCTCTATAAACTGGGGTCACTGTGTCTCTATAAATTGGGGTCACTGTGTCTCTATAAACTGGGGTCACTGTGTTTCTATAAACTGGGTCACTGTGACTTTGTAAAGTGGGGTGTCAGCTCGAAACAAGTTGAGAACTGCTGACCGAACATAATGACTAGGAAGGTAGGTGAGGGACAGGGGAAAATACACGAACAGATACAGGGCAACGTTCCGACCAACAGCTTTGCCGGTGAATATATGAGAAAGACGAATGCCAACCCACAGCCACAACAGAGCAGTCACGTAGAGACAAACATGGGCGGGAAATACCAAAATGTGGGAGTAGAAACAGATTGACTACCAACTAGACTGCAGTCAACTCTATTTTTTCTTCATGCACCATCCACTGTCTGGTCTGATACTGTTTAATCGTGGTTTCTTGTGTTGTGTCTTGTGCTTTGTCTTGTGCTGTGTCTTGTGCTGTGTCTTGTATTGTGTCTTGTGCTGTGTCTTGTGTTGTGTCTTGTGCTGTGTCTTGTGCTGTGTCTTGTGCTGTGTCTTGTGCTGTGTCTTGTGCTGTGTCTTGTGTTGTGTCTTGTGCTGTGTCTTGTGCTGTGTCTTGTGCTGTGTCTTGTGCTGTGTCTTGTGCTTTGTCTTGTGCTGTGTCTTGTGCTGTGTCTTGTGCTGTGTCTTGTGCTGTGTCTTGTGCTGTGTCTTGTGTTGTGTCTTGTGCTGTGCCTTGTGCTGTGTCTTGTGCTGTGTCTTGTGTTGTGTCTTGTGCTGTGTAGTGTCTTGATCGGTAGTTACCCATTTTCTATCTATAATAATCTCTTGTCTATAACCCACCAATGACCAGTGACTATGCTCTACTTAATGACCACCAATGACCAGTGACTATGCTCTACTTAATGACCACCAATGACCAGTGACTATGCTCTACTTAATGACCACCAATGACCAGTGACTATGCTCTACTTAATGACCACCAATGACCAGTGACTATGCTTTACCTAATGTCCACCAATGACCAGTGACTATGCTCTACTTAATGTCCACCAATGACCAGTGACTATGCTCTACTTAATGTCCACCAAAGATCAGTGACTATTATCTGTCTGTTGTCCTCCACTGACCAGTGGCTATTCTCTGTCTGTTGTCCACCAGTGACCAGTGACTATTCTCTGTCTGTTGTCCTCCACTGACCAGTGGCTATCTTCTACATGTTGTCCTCCACTGACCAGTGGCTATCTTCTACATGTTGTCCTCCACTGACCAGTGGCTATCTTCTACATGTTGTCCTCCACTGACCAGTGGCTATCTTCTACCTGCAGGAGTATATCTTCACCGGCATCACTTTCTTGGTGGGGGTGTTTGTGTTCGCAGCCGTTGTTGGCAATGTTGGTGACGTCATCAGCAACATGAACGCCGCCAGACGAGATTTTCAAGCCAGGTGAGTCCGAGAGTATAGTCACGTGATATGCTTGTCTTGCGTGTTCAAATGTTTGTCCTCAGTCTTCGTTAACCAGAGATCTTATTTCAATGTGTGAGTGTGTGTGTGGGTGGGTGGGTGTGTTTGTGTGTGTATACATGCTAGAAAAATGTATAGTATATCCACACCCATACACAGACGCCTACACATTCTCCCGCGCACGCAAACACCCACGCGCGTGCCAATGTTGCTAGTAACGATCCTTATTTCCCTGTCTGGGTTGATCCTGGTAAAGAAGGTTCGATATCCCAGCACCAGGACAAGGCCACATTAACTCCATCTGCCTCCCCAACAGCCAGCGAAAAGTGTCCATACCGACGCTACCCGTTGTCACCTGGTTAACTTTTGGTCTTGAGTGGCTCACAGAGCTCTACAGAAACTCCATGCTGCATCATCCCCTGCAGTTAGGGGTTGTCAGTACCTTCCATTTTACTGGTCACCTCGTCTCACAGGCGAGAGATCAGCTCTGTCTTGTGCAGTTGCAGTACAACCCTCAGTGGGTCTAGTCCAGCCAGACTCTCCGCTTGCTCCTTCCCAAACACACCTGCAACGTACCTAACGCACTTTATGTTAAAATAAACCGCCATTGCCAAGAACTGATCACTGGTCATTTGTCTTATAAGTATGTGCTCTAACAACTCGACCACCGTGTATTCCAGCACTGAGACATTAGAAGAGTTGATTGAACATTGCCAGGTAACCCTTATATAGAGCTCATGATGAACTTATTCATGTGTTCCAGAATGGATCAAATCAAGTTCTACATGAACCATAGACAAGTTCCACAACAACTCCAGACCCGCATCAAGAGATGGGCAGAGTACGCCTGGGACAGGTAACTTTGCGTATCTTGTTCCAACGACGTTTGTGGGTGTTCAGGAACTATAGGCCGGCTTGTCTGTCAGTGTTAACTATAGGCTGGCTTGTCTGTCAGTGTTAACTATAGGCTGGCTTGTCTGTCAGTGTTTCGTCGTGTTTTCTTAAATCCTTTCATATCCGTACTTTGTGGCTAGGAAATATAAGCACCGCTTGAGAATAGCAATTAATAGTTCAGTTGTCCCCAATCATAACTATCAGATTTTTAAGTTTTTTTTTTAAAGTAAATATGTACTATGGGCTTTTTAATCACTTTTAATAACAAAATGTCTTCTAATAATATTATTATTCAATTTATTCTAGAATTCAATGTTCTTGTTCTCAGAGCTCAGCTCAAAAACTGCCATCGCGTTCTCCTTCATCCTGTTCCCTTCCTAATTTCCTCCCTTCGTGCAACGCAGTCTGTGGTGTTCCGTAAATCATTGCCTGTATCATTCATGCCCTGCTTCCATGCATCTTTATAACCTACTAGGGGCGACCCCGACACTACCCATCTGTAATTTCCATAAAGGACGTTTTTGAAGCTTAAGTACTCTACCATCCCCCATGCTCTTAGTGTGTCAGACTCTACCATCCTCCATGCTCTTAGTGTGTCAGACTCTACCATCCTCCATGCTCTTAGTGTGTCAGACTCTACCATCCTCCATGCTCTTAGTGTATCAGACTCTACCATCCTCCATGCTCTTAGCGTGTCAGACTCTACCATCTCCTATGCTCTTAGTGTGTCAGACTCTACCATCCCCCATGCTCTAAGTGTGCCAGACGCTACCATCTCCTATGTTTCAAGTGTGCCAGACTCTACCATCCTCCATGCTCTTAGTGTGTCAGACTCTACCATCCCCCATGCTCTTAGTGTGTCAGACTCTACCAACCCCCATGCTCTTAGTGTGTCAGACTCTACCATCCTCCATGCTCTTAGTGTGTCAGACTCTACCATCCTCCATGCTCTTAGTGTGTCAGACTCTACCATCCCCCATGCTCTTAGTGTGTCAGACTCTACCATCCCCATGCTCTTAGTGTGTCAGACTCTACCATCCCCCATGCTCTTAGTGTGTCAGACTCTACCATCCCCCATGCTCTTAGTGTGTCAGACTCTACCATCTCCTATGCTCTTAGTGTGTCAGACTCTACCATCCCCATGCTCTTAGTGTGTCAGACTCTACCATCCCCCATGCTCTTAGTGTGTCAGACTCTACCATCCCCCATGCTCTTAGTGTGTCAGACTCTACCATCCTCCATGCTCTTAGTGTGCCAGACGCTACCATCTCCTATGTTTCAAGTGTGCCAGACTCTACCATCCCCCATGCTCTAAGTGTGCCAGACGCTACCCTCTCCTATGTTTCAAGTGTGCCAGACTCTACCATCCTCCATGCTCCAAGTGTGCTAGACTCTACCATCTTTCATGCTCTGAGTGTGCCAGACTCTACCATCCTCCATGTTCCAAGTGTGCCAGACTCTACGATCCCCCATGCTCTAAGTGTGCCAGACGCTACCATCTCCTATGTATCAAGTGTGCCAGACTCTACCATCCCCCATGCTCTAAGTGTGCCAGACGCTACCCTCTCCTATGTTTCAAGTGTGCCAGACTCTACCATCCTCCATGCTCCAAGTGTGCTAGACTCTACCATCTTTCATGCTCCGAGTGTGCCAGACTCTACCATCCTCCATGTTCCAAGTGTGCCAGACTCTACCATCTTTCATGCTCCGAGTGTGCCAGACTCTACCATCCTCCATGTTCCAAGTGTGCCAGACTCTACCATCACCCATGCTCCAAGTGTGCCAGACTCTACCATCCTCCATGCTCCAAGTGTGTCAGACTCTACCATCCTCCATGTTCCAAGTGTGCCAGACTCTACCATCCTCCATGTTCCAAGTGTGCCAGACTCTACCATCCTTCATGTTCCAAGTGTGTCAGACTCTACCATCTCCCATGCTCCAAGTGTGCCAGACTCTACCATCCTCCATGTTTCAAGTGTGCCAGACTCTACCATCCTCCATGTTCCAAGTGTGCCAGACTCTACCATCTCCCATGCTCCAAGTGTGCCAGACTCTACCATCCTCCATGCTCCAAGTGTGTCAAACTCTACCATCCTCCATGTTCCAAGTGTGCCAGACTCTACCATCCTCCATGTTCCAAGTGTGCCAGACTCTACCATCCTCCATGTTCCAAGTGTGTCAGACTCTACCATCTCCCATGTTCCAAGTGTGCCAGACTCTACAATCCTCCATGCTCCAAGTGTCCCAGACTCTACCATCCTCCATGTTCCAAGTGTGTCAGACTCTACCATCTCCCATGCTCTTAGTGTGTCAGACTCTACCATTCTCCATGCTCTTAGTGTGTCAGACTCGACCATTCTCCGTGCTCTTAGTGTGTCAGACTCTACCATTCTCCATGCTCTTAGTGTGTCAGACTCTACCATCCCCATGCTCTTAGTGTGTCAGACTCTACCATCCTCCATGCTCTTAGTGTGTCAGACTCTACCATCCTCCATGCTCTTAGTGTGTCAGACTCTACCATCCTCGATGCTCTTAGTGTGTCAGACTCTACCATCTCCTATGCCCTTAGTGTGTCAGACTCTACCATCTCCTATGCTCTTAGTGTGTCAGACTCTACCATCTCCTATGCTCTTAGTGTGTCAGACTCTACCATCTCCTATGCTCTTAGTGTGTCAGACTCTACCATCCTCCATGCTCCAAGTGTGTCAGACTCTACCATCTCCTTTGCTCTTAGTGTGTCAGACTCTACCATCCTCCATGCTCTTAGTGTGTCAGACTCTACCATTCTCCATGCTCTTAGTGTGTCAGACTCTACCATCTCCTATGCTCTTAGTGTGTCAGACTCTACCATCCTCCATGCTCTTAGTGTGTCAGACTCTACCATCTCCTATGCTCTTAGTGTGTCAGACTCTACCATCCTCCATGCTCCAAGTGTTCCAGACTCTACCATCCTCCATGCTCCAAGTGTTCCAGACTCTACCATCCCCCATGCTCCAAGTGGGCTGGACTCTACTATCCTCCATGCTTCAAGTAAGCCGGACTCTACCATCCTCCATTCTCTAAGTGTGCCAGACTCTACCCTTCTTCATGCACCAAGTGTTCCAGACTCTACTATCCTCCTTGCTCCAAGTGTGCGAAACTCTATTATCCTCTTTGCTCCAAGTGTGCCCCACGCTACCATCCCCCATGCTCCAAGTATGCCTTAGCTAAAACAATATGTTGTCTAGTACAAGTCTACTAAAGAAGCTACACCAATATATAACGAAGCACACAGATGAAACTCTTCAACCCAAATGCTCAGATTATACAGGTCATTTCTACTCCGTACATTTGACCATGGAACACTTTGACTAATCAAGTTATCTCGTGGATCACTTCAGGATTTTTTTTTTCCATCGTACTGGCCGCTTCAGCAAATTTAAAGATGAAATTCCAGGCACGTGATTAAAGGGGATGGTGCCTTTCGAGTTGTTTGTCGCTCAACATGGCGGTGCAACATTTACTCAAACTGTCGGGACAACGGACAGTCAAATAAACAACAGGGTTGCGTGGCTTATCTAAGGCTTCTGTGGTAGGTCGTGACTGAAGTATATTTAATGCAGATCAAACGGTCGCAGAAGAAAAGAGTCTGTCTCTTCTGACTGAACTGATAAGCCTTGTGAAAACAGACTGACTCTGACGCACATGTTGTACCCGTGTGAAAACAGACTGATTCTGATACACATGTTGTACCCGTGTGAAAACAGACTGACTCTGATACTCATGTTGTACCTGTGTAAAAACAGACTGACTCTGATACTCATGTTGTACCCGTGTGAAAACAGACTGACTCTGATACACATGTTGTACCCGTGTGAAAACAGACTGACTCTGATACTCATGTTGTACCCGTGTGAAAACAGACTGACTCTGATACACATGTTGTACCCGTGTGAAAACAGACTGACTCTGATACTCATGTTGTACCCGTGTGAAAACAGACTGACTCTGATACTCATGTTGTACCCGTGTGAAAACAGACTGACTCTGATACTCATGTTGTACCCGTGTGAAAACAGACTGACTCTGATACTCATGTTGTACCCGTGTAAACAGACTGATTCTGACACACTTGTTACAGGACGAAGGCGATGGATGAGCCGAGTGCCTTACAGTTCCTGCCTGACAGACTGCGCACAGAGGTGGCCATCCATGTCCATCTTGATGTCCTCAAGAAGGTAAACCAACACGCAATAATGCTTGTTTGTTGGGTTTAACATCTTAGATGGCATGTTTGTTGTGTAGAGTTTGATTGTTTAATGTCCACATGTGACAATGGAAGCTCGTACAGTTTTACTAACTGTTTGACTGACACACTTGTTTAAACTGTCCGATGCGGGTCAAATTTGTCCCAGACCAGCACACATTTATGTAGGTTGACCAGTGCTTTCAGACAGTTACATTCAGTTGTTGAAAGTGGATGGTGATAGAAGGGTATCGTTTGCTGCTTCATCTATAGTTGATAGTCATATCTCTCCACAGCCTCCTGTCTTGTGTACTTCTAATCAGTTCTGACACAAATGATCTTCTATGCCATGATGTTAGTGTCCAGCATCGTCTCTGTGGATCTCCCTCTGCCTTTCTTCCAGTACAACTTTCCTACCCTCGCGATATTCCCAAGTTCTCACCCTCTCCTGACATGATGAAACAATGTATAATGTCTCCTTTTGATGTGGACAATCAGTTCTATTTGTGGGTTATTTTCAAGACATCTTCATTACTTCTTATTAACCAAGATGTTCTTATTACTGGTCTCTAAAATCACATCTCTGCCGCTTGTAGATCATTTTTCAATAGTCGGCCAAGTGATCCACTTCCGTTCATCAGAGTGTGATTTGTAAAGCTCTCGAGACTGATCTTTCTCCCCTCCGTTGACAAAGATTGCATGGAAAATTATTCATGTTGTAAAATGCTGCCATTGCTTAAGCTATTCGAAATTTAAATAGTAATCAACTTCCACCTGTTTCTATCAGGGCACCCACGGATTGAAACATCTCCACTTGCTTGAGAATTGTCCCATTTTGGCGGGTCCTTTTTCTTTGTAATGACCATTTCTTTGTGTTTGTTTGCTGTTTAAACGAAGACGCTTGTTTTTATTTTATGTTACATAATTGTCCACCATTTCTTTGTGTTTGTTTGCTGTTTAAACGAAGACGCTTGTTTTTATTTTATGTTACATAATTGTCCACCATTTCTTGCAGTTGTGTTTCATTTCTTGCTTTTTGGAATTTACAAATGATGTGCACGAATCTATTGAATTTTTTTCAAACATAATTGCTTATTTCAAAAGTTAATCGAAAGTTGACTGCAAGGATACCGGAAGTTGACATTCATTGACATTATAAGTACTAGTGGCGGTTTTAACAATAGACTGCAGCTCGGTGGATTCATAGACAGGATTCACTCATCTGGTGTGAGTGCGCGTCTGCATATGTATGTATATCTTGTACCACAAAAGAACACACAATTTTACAAACTGTCACATGATTACTTGACCACGTCCACCGCACAAGCTCACAGGCGTGAATCCAACCGTGCAGCTTCTCTAGGTGTAACCCTTGTTGGCTTGAGCGTCCAGTTTCTAACGCTTTGAAATTAAATATCGTTGCACGTTCGTTAGCTAGTATCTCTTGGTTGTCCATCCGACGCCCACGCTGTCACCTCCGCTGACTAAATGATTCTGTGATGTCCTCTCCCAGCTGTCCCTTGGTTGTCCAGCCGACGCCCACGCTGTCACCTCCGCTGACTGAATGATTCTGTGATGTCCTCTCCCAGCTGTCCCTTGGTTGTCCCGCCGACGCCGATCTGTCACCTCCGCTGATGTGCTCCACGGATTGAATATTCTCTGATATCCTCTCCCAGGTGTCCATCTTTGGCGAGTGCGAGGAGGGCTTGCTGCGTGAGCTGGTCCTGAAGCTGAAGACGCAGATCTTCTCCCCGGGAGACTACATCTGTCGCATCGGCGAGATCGGTAATGCCTTAGTTAGTGTCACGTCAATATATTCATACTAAATCGTCTCATTGGCAGGTAAATTGTGTATGTAGATGGTCCTTTTTTATGTACATATATCTGGTTATATTATCTGAAAATATCGGGTGGCATTGTTTGCAGTCTAAAGGTGAACACAAATATATCACAGTCAAGACAAGAACACGGACGCAAGGCTGGACCATCATATCTCTCTGATATTTGTTCTTAAATTTGCTCGCGCTGACGTCCCCTACTTTGAGATTTGTGCTTACGTCATCAAAACGGATTTCTCCCACTGAGATGTGTGCTTACATCAGCAAAACAGATTTCTCCCGCTGAGATTTGTGCTAACGTCATCAAAACAGATTTCTCCCACTCTGAGATTTGTGCTTACGTCATCAAAACGGATTTCTCCCACTGAGATGTGTGCTCACATCATCAAAACGGATTTCTCCCACTGAGATGTGTGCTTACATCATCAAAACGGATTTCTCCCACTCTGAGAGGTGTGCTTACATCATCAAAACAGATTTCTACCACTGAGATGTGTGCTTACATCAGCAAAACGGATTTCTCCCACTGAGATGTGTGCTTACGTCATCAAAACGGATTTCTCCCCATCGAGCTACCTCGTTAGGTTATTACCAAACAGGCTTTCATTCTCGTCTATTGAGTTGTGATACACATTTCTCATACTCTGTCAGTTAGTTTGATGACTGTTGCCATTTAACCTGGTGGGTGGGGGCGGGTTAGAGAGAAGAGAGAGAGGGACAGAGAGAGAGAGAGAGAGAGTGACACACCCTCGTCTGATCCCAGCCGAATGTTATTTTGCTGCACCCTGATTTGGACAATGACCTTTACCATGACCTGAACTATGACCTGGCTTCAGCTACTCCACAGATGTCAAACTTCCTTACCAGTCTGGCATATCCCTGTGAGATTGGAGAGGGCAATGAGAGCATCTGCAACACATCAGTTATCGTTTGGGAAAACAGCATTTTCCCCAACCTGATCCTTCAGGGCTTAGATAACTCAAGTGTTGATACCTTAGACCAAATAGTTAAAACACAAACTATTCATATAGCAACCAAATTATTATGCATGAATAATAACGAGCATTAGACATTTCCCAGTTTGATATTCTCACATCATGTGTTCTTCCCATTTTGATATTCTCACACACTTGTGTTCTCCCCAGGCAGGGAGATGTACATCATCAACCACGGACAAGTGGAGATCCTATTTCCGGACTTTGAAACTGGGAGCAGGATTCAAGTGGTGGTCATGCAGCCTGGCAACTTCTTTGGGGAGATAAGCCTGCTGAAGTTGGACGATGGCCAGAATCGGTCAGAGTTACCTGTCCTGTCTGACCCAATTCTGTCTGATATTGTTGTGTCTGCTGTCTCTTGTCTATGGCTTCTGTCTAAAGCAGTGGGAATTCTGCACAGGAATGTCATCCATTTGAATTCTCTAAATCCATGTCACGTGTGAAAACAAAGTTAGTTGATAGATGGAGAAAAATGTAGATAAACTGTAAAGAAAAGCTTAGTTCATGTGGGAGAACGCACTCCTCGAATTCTGACCGGGGGGAACGAGGGTGGGGTGGGTGGGGGCGGGGTCTGGATAAAGAACAGATCGCCAGACAGCTATTGTCTGGATGTAGACAAGGGTTAACTAACCTGCAGCTGACGGCTTCACAGTCTGCAGGAGCCCCACAAATTTCCTTTTGTATGTATGTGTGTTCACAACAGCAGTTTTTTCCTAACAGAGCCTTCAATTGGTTTGTATCATTTCTGTGATTTTACAGTCACATTGTTTATTATTTCTTCGACACAGATTACACGACACAATATTTTAACAGCAGGGGCCTCAGGGTTTTCAATAGTTAAGGGCCTCATCAACTCTATATCCGGCCCTACATACAGTCAAACGTTTACAACACAGAGTCCTGCAATCACTCTCCCTCTATCACTCTCTTGGCACCATGGGCTTCCACAAGTCTTCATCTATCAAACCTTTATCTCACGTGTTGTGTTTCCACCATAGCCACCAAGGGCTTCCACAGTCTTCATCTATCAAACCTTTATCTCACGTGTTGTGTTTCCACCATAGCCACCAAGGGCTTCCACAGTCTTCATCTATCAAACCTTTATCTCACGTGTTGTGTTTCCACCATAGCCACCAAGGGCTTCCACAGTCTTTATCTATCAAACCTTTATCTCACGTGTTGTGTTTCCACCATAGCCACCAAGGGCTTCCACAGTCTTCATCTATCAAACCTTTATCTCACGTGTTGTGTTTCCACCATAGCCACCAAGGGCTTCCACAGTCTTTATCTATCAAACCTTTATCTCACGTGTTGTGTTTCCACCATAGCCACCAAGGGCTTCCACAGTCTTTATCTATCAAACCTTTATCTCACGTGTTGTGTTTCCACCATAGCCACCAAGGGCTTCCACAGTCTTTATCTATCAAACCTTTATCTCACGTGTTGTGTTTCCACCATAGCCACCAAGGGCTTCCACAGTCTTCATCTATCAAACCTTTATCTCACGTGTTGTGTTTCCACCATAGCCACCAAGGGCTTCCACAGTCTTTATCTATCAAACCTTTATCTCACGTGTTGTGTTTCCACCATAGCCACCAAGGGCTTCCACAGTCTTTATCTATCAAACCTTTATCTCACGTGTTGTGTTTCCACCATAGCCACCAAGGGCTTCCACAGTCTTTATCTATCAAACCTTTATCTCACGTGTTGTGTTTCCACCATAGCCACCAAGGGCTTCCACAGTCTTTATCAAACCTTCAGCTCACGTGTTTTATTTCCACTGTGAGGTTTGTTTGTAGTGACACAAAGTGATGGCTTGAGAAGATGAACAATGTTGAACATTTCTTGTTATGACACCAAATGGTGGCTTGTGACGGTGAACAATCTTGCAGTTATGACACCAGATGCTGACTTGAGAAAGTGTGTTGAACATTTCTTTACATTTCCAAGGTGGTATCTTCTAACTATAATGTAAGTCAGTCAACCAGGTGCCATCTTCGCAATGATTAGACTGAATGTTTTATTTTGTCTTTCCCAGACGTACTGCGGATGTCAGGTCTATAGGTTTTTCAGAACTGCTGTGTTTGTCCCGCCGTGACCTCATTGTGGTGAGTGTTTAGCACACCAAGTGTTTGTCCCGCCGTTACCTCATTGTGGTAAGTGTTTAGCACACCGAGTGTTTGTCCCGCCGTGACCTCATTGTGGTAAGTGTTTAGCACACCGGGTGTTTGTCCGGCCGTGACCTCATTGTGGTAAGTGTTTAGCACACCGGGTGTTTGTCCCGCCGTGACCTCATTGTGGTAAGTGTTTAGCAAACCGGGTGTTTGTCCCGCCGTAACCTCATTGTGGTAAGTGTTTAGCAAACCGGGTGTTTGTCCAGTGAGCGTTAAACCTACTCAGTTATGACAGACCGAAACATCAACATCAAACCTGGCTGGATTTCCACACAGTGAAGTGGTATACTGACAATTTTTATAAAATGAAGAACATCTTATGCAATATATCTTAGTCATTGAGAGTTAGAAAAACAATTTTTGCTTGCTACATACATCCAGTTTTAACATATGGCTGTGAATCCTGAACAATCATTAGGCAAGCCAAACAATTTCTAGAGGTCTCAGAGATGTGGTTTTACAGAAAAATGCTTAAAATACCTTGGACAGCCAAAAAGAGCAACCAAGAGGTTTTGAAAGAGGCGGGAGCCCGTAGACAACTTATAACAGACATCAGAAGGAGACAGTCATCATTTTTTCGGCCATGTTATGAGAAGAGGGAAAATAGAACATGTTGTGACCACTGGAAAGATTTGTGGAAGGAGGGACAGAGGAAGACAACGGGAGAAGATTCTTGACAGTCTTGTTGCATGGCATGGAGGTGTGTCAGCACACGAACTGACTTATGCTGCAGGAGATCGCGGACTGTGGAGAGGCATGATCGCCCATGCCAATCGGCAAGGCACCTGATGATGATGATGATGATGATGATGATACTGACAATGTCTATTGAAACTGTAACCTTACAAAACACCGTCGAAACTGCGCGGTCAATCATTAAACAGTAAAACTGTTACTATGGTGCCAAGAGTGATATCATTGTGTACTCTACTAACACAAAGTGGAGTGGTCAGTTATCTAACTTATCGTATTTCATGGCAGAATATGTTTACTCTTGGCGAGTGTCTGTCGACATCTAGTGGAGTGGCCAGTTATCCAACTCATCGTCTTTTCGTGACAGAACATTGTTACAACTGGCGAGTGTCTATCGACATCTAGTGGACAAGAAAAATAGCATCTTTGCTCTTCGTTAAATCTAAAAGATCCTTTTGACAGTCAGTTCCCCGTGTGGGTTCCGGGGTCCCATTGTGGAAAACTAGAATAGATCATGTCGTATGAGTCGACCAACTGGGAGCTTCGTTTGAAGTCGGAGTGCATCCGCTGCAAGGCAAGGAATCAGCAATCTACACACACACACACACACAGATCAGATTTGTATATCGAATGTGCATGAAACACTCAGGTTGTGAAATGGGACTAAAGTCCGCAGATGGACGAACAACCAGAACTGTTGGCTTGAGTTTATTGACACGTTAGTTTCACTAAACTCTGTCTACTTAAACGCTAGTCTTACTAAACTCTGTCTATTTAAACGGTAGTCTTACCAAACTCTGTCCATTTAAACGATAGACTCACAAAAATCTGTCAATTGAAAGGGTAGACTTACAAAAATCTGTCTTTTTAAACGATAGACTCACAACACTGTCTATTGAAACGGTAGACTCACAACACTGTCTATTGAAACGGTAGACTCCCAACATTTTATCTGTTGGAATGGTAGGCACACTACACTGTCTGTTGACCTGCCCCCCCCCCCCCCCCTCCCCCACCCCGCATAATTTACTGTATATGCAGACTGCTAGAAGTTTCTGAGATTGAACGCCCAACTCTCCCCCCACCCTTTTTTTTTTCCCTTCCACCTTTTTTTTCCCTTAGGCGTTGACCGAATATCCGGAAGCTAAAAGGATTTTGGAGGATTATGCCAGACAACGGTAAGGAGAAATATCATTGCTTGTGACACACTTTTACTGTTTGAGGTTCTCAATATACTTATGTCGTTTGATATCATACTGTTTAAGGTCGTCAATATACTTATCTCGTTTGATATCATACTGTTTAAGGTCGTCAATATACTTATGTCGTTTGATATCATACTGTTTAAGGTCGTCAATATACTTATCTCGTTTGATATCATACTGTTTAAGGTCGTCAATATACTTATCTCGTTTGATATCATACTGTTTAAGGTCGTCAATATACTTATCTCGTTTGATATCATACTGTTTAAGGTCGTCAATATACTTATCTCGTTTGATATCATACTGTTTAAAAATTACCGACCGGGTGGTTGAATCTTTGAAAACGATGGACTGATTTCAAATAAAAGCAGAAGTCCTTTGCTTGTTTGTTAATTCGTAAATATACTAAAATGTTTCGTCTGCTTTCTTTCCATTTTTCAGAAAAGGTAATTATAAAAGGCGCAAGGCTGTAAACCATCTGTTAGCTACAACAATAGCAGTCTTGTTACAACTGCAGTCTTGCCGCAATCTGAAAGTTATAACCATTTGTTAGCTACAACAATAGCAGTCTTGTTACAACTGCAGTCTTACCGCAGTTTAAAAGTTATAACCATTTGTTCGCTACAACAATAGCAGTCTTGTTACAACTGCAGTCTTACCGCAATCTGAAAGTTATAACCATTTGTTAGCTACAACAATAGCAGTCTTGTTACAACTGCAGTCTTACCGCAGTTTAAAAGTTATAACCATTTGTTCGCTACAACAATAGCAGTCTTGTTACAACTGCAGTCTTACCGCAATCTGAAAGTTATAACCATTTGTTAGCTACAACAATAGCAGTCTTGTTACAACTGCAGTCTTACCGCAGTTTGAAAGTTATAACCATTTGTTCGCTACAAAAATAGCAGTCTTGTTACAACTGCAGTCTTACCTCAGTTTGAAAGTTATAACCATTTGTTCGCTACAACAATAGCAGTCTTGTTACAACTGCAGTCTTACCTCAGTTTGAAAGTTATAACCATTTGTTAGCTACAACAATAGCAGTCTTGTTACAACTGCAGTCTTACCTCAGTTTGAAAGTTATAACCATTTGTTAGCTACAACAATAGCAGTCTTGTTACAACTGCAGTCTTACCTCAGTTTGAAAGTTATAACCATTTGTTAGCTACAACAATAGCAGTCTTGTTACAACTGCAGTCTTACCGCAGTTTGAAAGTTATAACCATTTGTTCGCTACAACAATAGCAGTCTTGTTACAACTGCAGTCTTACCTCAGTTTGAAAGTTATAACCATTTGTTAGCTACAACAATAGCAGTCTTGTTACAACTGCAGTCTTACCTCAGTTTGAAAGTTATAACCATTTGTTAGCTACAACAATAGCAGTCTTGTTACAACTGCAGTCTTACCGCAGTCTGAAAGTTATAACCATTGGTTAGCTTTAAAATCTTGCCAGCCATAAGAATTTCAGTAATGCAATAGTTTTTTTTTTTTTTTTTCTAACATATTCTTGAGTTATAACACTATGATTGATGTAAGAATTGGAGTGGTACAAAAATAGTAATGTCTTTATTATAACAATGTAAGTGATATTCCAGTTTGAATGATACACAATTTTGAGCGCTGTTACAATTTGACTGCTATAACAATGTGTTTGTTATAACAATTTGCATAATACAGCAGCGAAAGTGTAATCATTTGAGTGCTATAACAAAAGAGTGCACGCAACTGTCTGCGACAGGTTTAACCACACCAGGAAGTTATCACCGCCAGAGACAGAAGACTGCAGACCTGTCTCAGCCCCGGTCTCGTGTGTTTCCAGTCACAAGAAGAGGTCAGCGAGAAAGGTCTTCACGAAGGTCATGAGACAGGGAGGCTTCTCCAAGCTGTTGAAGAATGCTGCTAGAAGTAAGTTATGGTGTTTGGTAAAATGGTCAAATACAAACTGACACACAGGAAGTTACACATCTATGTTCAGCTTTCGACACATACACACAGGGCGCAGTCAGCAGGTTAAATACAAACTGACACACAGGAAGTTACACATCTATGTTCAGCTTTCGACACATACACACAGGGCGCAGTCAGCAGGTCAAATACAAACTGACACACAGCAAGTTACACATCTATGTTCAGCTTTCGACACATACACACAGGGCGCAGTCAGCAGGTCAAATACAAACTGACACACAGCAAGTTACACATCTATGTTCAGCTTTCGACACATACACACAGGGCGCAGTCAGCAGGTCAAATACAAACTGACACACAGCAAGTTACACATCTATGTTCAGCTTTCGACACATACACACAGGGCGCAGTCAGCAGGTCAAATACAAACTGACACACAGCAAGTTACACATCTATGTTCAGCTTTCGACACATACACACAGGGCGCAGTCAGCAGGTCAAATACAAACTGACACACAGCAAGTTACACACACAGCAAGTTACACATCTATGTTCAGCTTTCGACACATACACACAGGGCGCAGTCAGCAGGTCAAATACAAACTGACACACAGCAAGTTACACATCTATGTTCAGCTTTCGACACATACACACAGGGCGCAGTCAGCAGGTCAAATACAAACTGACACACAGCAAGTTACACATCTATGTTCAGCTTTCGACACATACACACAGGGCGCAGTCAGCAGGTCAGATACAAACTGACACACAGCAAGTTACACATCTATGTTCAGCTTTCGACACATACACACAGGGCGCAGTCAGCAGGTCAGATACAAACTGACACACAGCAAGTTACACATCTATGTTCAGCTTTCGACACATACACACAGGGCGCAGTCAGCAGGTCAAATACAAACTGACACACAGCAAGTTACACATCTATGTTCAGCTTTCGACACATACACACAGGGCGCAGTCAGCAGGTCAAATACAAACTGACACACAGCAAGTTACACATCTATGTTCAGCTTTCGACACATAGGGCGCACACAGGGCGCAGTCAGCAGGTCGAAATACAAACTGACACACAGCAAGTTACACATCTATGTTCAGCTTTCGACACATACACACAGGGCGCAGTCAGCAGGTCAAATACAAACTGACACACAGCAAGTTACACATCTATGTTCAGCTTTCGACACATACACACAGGGCGCAGTCAGCAGGTCAAATACAAACTGACACACAGCAAGTTACACATCTATGTTCAGCTTTCGACACATACACACAGGGCGCAGTCAGCAGGTCAAATACAAACTGACACACAGCAAGTTACACATCTATGTTCAGCTTTCGACACATACACACAGGGCGCAGTCAGCAGGTCAAATACAAACTGACACACAGCAAGTTACACATCTATGTTCAGCTTCGACACATACACACAGGGCGCAGTCAGCAGGTCAAATACAAACTGACACACAGCAAGTTACACATCTATGTTCAGCTTTCGACACATACACACAGGGCGCAGTCAGCAGGTCAATACAAACTGACACACAATACACAACTGACACACAGCAAGTTACACATCTATGTTCAGCTTTCGACACATACACACAGGGCGCAGTCAGCAGGTCAAATACAAACTGACACACAGCAAGTTACACATCTATGTTCAGCTTTCGACACATACACACAGGGCGCAGTCAGCAGGTCAAATACAAACTGACACACAGCAAGTTACACATCTATGTTCAGCTTTCGACACATACACACAGGGCGCAGTCAGCAGGTCAAATACAAACTGACACACAGCAAGTTACACATCTATGTTCAGCTTTCGACACATACACACAGGGCGCAGTCAGCAGGTCAAATACAAACTGACACACAGCAAGTTACACATCTATGTTCAGCTTTCGACACATACACACAGGGCGCAGTCAGCAGGTCAAATACAAACTGACACACAGCAAGTTACACATCTATGTTCAGCTTTCGACACATACACACAGGGCGCAGTCAGCAGGTCAGATACAAACTGACACACAGCAAGTTACACATCTATGTTCAGCTTTCGACACATACACACAGGGCGCAGTCAGCAGGTCAAATACAAACTGACACACAGCAAGTTACACATCTATGTTCAGCTTTCGACACACACACACACAGGGCGCAGTCAGCAGGTCAAATACAAACTGACACACAGCAAGTTACACATCTATGTTCAGCTTTCGACACATACACACAGGGCGCAGTCAGCAGGTCAAATACAAACTGACACACAGGAAGTTACACATCTATGTTCAGCTTTCGACACATACACACAGGGCGCAGTCAGCAGGTCAAATACAAACTGACACACAGCAAGTTACACATCTATGTTCAGCTTTCGACACATACACACAGGGCGCAGTCAGCAGGTCAAATACAAACTGACACACAGCAAGTTACACATCTATGTTCAGCTTTCGACACATACACACAGGGCGCAGTCAGCAGGTCAAATACAAACTGACACACAGCAAGTTACACATCTATGTTCAGCTTTCGACACATACACACAGGGCGCAGTCAGCAGGTCAGATACAAACTGACACACAGCAAGTTACACATCTATGTTCAGCTTTCGACACATACACACAGGGCGCAGTCAGCAGGTCAGATACAAACTGACACACAGCAAGTTACACATCTATGTTCAGCTTTCGACACATACACACAGGGCGCAGTCAGCAGGTCAGATACAAACTGACACACAGCAAGTTACACATCTATGTTCAGCTTTCGACACATACACACAGGGCGCAGTCAGCAGGTCAAATACAAACTGACACACAGCAAGTTACACATCTATGTTCAGCTTTCGACACATACACACAGGGCGCAGTCAGCAGGTCAAATACAAACTGACACACAGCAAGTTACACATCTATGTTCAGCTTTCGACACATACACACAGGGCGCAGTCAGCAGGTCAAATACAAAAACTGACACACAGCAAGTTACACATCTATGTTCAGCTTTCGACACATACACACAGGGCGCAGTCAGCAGGTCAAATACAAACTGACACACAGCAAGTTACACATCTATGTTCAGCTTTCGACACATACACACAGGGCGCAGTCAGCAGGTCAAATACAAACTGACACACAGCAAGTTACACATCATCTTTATGTTCAGCTTTCGACACATACACACAGGGCGCAGTCAGCAGGTCAGTCAGCATACAAACTGACACACAGCAAGTTACACATCTATGTTCAGCTTTCGACACATACACACAGGGCGCAGTCAGCAGGTCAAATACAAACTGACACACAGCAAGTTACACATCTATGTTCAGCTTTCGACACATACACACAGGGCGCAGTCAGCAGGTCAAATACAAACTGACACACAGCAAGTTACACATCTATGTTCAGCTTTCGACACATACACACAGGGCGCAGTCAGCAGGTCAAATACAAACTGACACACAGCAAGTTACACATCTATGTTCAGCTTTCGACACATACACACAGGGCGCAGTCAGCAGGTCAAATACAAACTGACACACAGCAAGTTACACATCTATGTTCAGCTTTCGACACATACACACAGGGCGCAGTCAGCAGGTCAAATACAAACTGACACACAGCAAGTTACACATCTATGTTCAGCTTTCGACACATACACACAGGGCGCAGTCAGCAGGTCAAATACAAACTGACACACAGCAAGTTACACATCTATGTTCAGCTTTCGACACATACACACAGGGCGCAGTCAGCAGGTCAGATACAAACTGACACACAGCAAGTTACACATCTATGTTCAGCTTTCGACACATACACACAGGCGCAGTCGCAGTGACACACAGCAGTTACACATCAGTTCAGCTTTCGACACATACACAAGGGCGCAGTCAGCAGGTCAGATACAAACACAGCAAGTTACACATCTATGTTCAGCTTTCGACACATACACACAGGGCGCAGTCAGCAGGTCAAATACAAACTGACACACAGCAAGTTACACATCTATGTTCAGCTTTCGACACATACACACAGGGCGCAGTCAGCAGGTCAAATACAAACTGACACACAGCAAGTTACACATCTATGTTCAGCTTTCGACACATACACACAAGGGCGCAGTCAGCAGGTCAGATACAAACTGACACACAGCAAGTTACACATCTATGTTCAGCTTTCGACACATACACACAGGGCGCAGTCAGCAGGTCAAATACAAACTGACACACAGCAAGTTACACATCTATGTTCAGCTTTCGACACATACACACAGGGCGCAGTCAGCAGGTCAAATACAAACTGACACACAGCAAGTTACACATCTATGTTCAGCTTTCGACACATACACACAGGGCGCAGTCAGCAGGTCAAATACAAACTGACACACAGCAAGTTACACATCTATGTTCAGCTTTCGACACATACACACAGGGCGCAGTCAGCAGGTCAAATACAAACTGACACACAGCAAGTTACACATCTATGTTCAGCTTTCGACACATACACACAGGGCGCAGTCAGCAGGTCAAATACAAACTGACACACAGCAAGTTACACATCTATGTTCAGCTTTCGACACATACACACAGGGCGCAGTCAGCAGGTCAAATACAAACTGACACAGCAAGTTACACACAGCAAGTTACACATCTATGTTCAGCTTTCGACACATACACACAGGGCGCAGTCAGCAGGTCAAATACAAACTGACACACAGCAAGTTACACATCTATGTTCAGCTTTCGACACATACACACAGGGCGCAGTCAGCAGGTCAAATACAAACTGACACACAGCAAGTTACACATCTATGTTCAGCTTTCGACACATACACACAGGGCGCAGTCAGCAGGTCAAATACAAACTGACACACAGCAAGTTACACATCTATGTTCAGCTTTCGACACATACACACAGGGCGCAGTCAGCAGGTCAAATACAAACTGACACACAGCAAGTTACACATCT